CCAAGATGCAAGTTTGAATTTCGACGTAACCAGTGACGTCACTCGCGACGCCTTATACTATGTGAATTAGTTGATTAGATGATAGAATTAGTGGATTAGTGAACTGACATTTATCTAGTACTCTCCGAATCCACACGGTGCGTCGAGTTGACTCAGTAATTCGAGTGCAAGCGGACTCGAGTAAAATTTATTTTCACTCGAGTACCGAGCTACACAAATTCACTCGATGGTATAGAGTGAAAACAGAGTTCGAGTTACATCACTATTGTAAGAATATAGTCTGTGATTAACTGTAATTGTTAATATATGCGTAAAAATAATTTTTGGTAGCAAAATTAGTTAATAGCAAAAAAGTTTATACTGTTTGTGTATTGTTTGTTTACAAGACAATAAAATAAATATCGTCTCATCGATGCGCAAGTGTTTGATATTATTATATCTGAAGACTATCATTCGGGTTAATGAGTTTAGTTAGTATTTATGTAATACAAAAGTTTAATTTTACACCTATAATTTTGGAAAATCTAAATAAGATCTATAATTTATGATGAATTACCTAAATAAATGAGAAACACAGGTTTTAGAACCTTGTTAAAGGTGACAAAGTATTAAAGTTTTATGTTATTAGTAAAATCTAAATTAAATAAAAGATAGAATAAATACATGAAAATAAGTTTTTGTGTTAGTTAAAAGAAAATATATCTGTAAATAAGTAGTAATTAGTTGTACTAGAAGCAAGTAAACAGTTTGCATAAGTATTGTAACTTGTTAAGCCATTTTTACTCATGTTATGGTTATATCTTTGTTGTTAATTCTGCAAAAAGGGATATTATTTTGTAATCTACTATCAGATAGTTAATATAAAAATAATATTCTGTACCCCTACATGAAGCCAGTGAAAATAAGAAGTCAGACAACATTTACATAGTTAAATATTGTTGATGTAAATCTACTCGTATAATTACTACTTATGTATTTGGTCATCTTGAGCTGATTAATAATGTGTATTTTATAATAATTTATTTATTTAACATACTGGCAGAGACAACAAAATACTGACAGAAATATGGAAATGTAGTTTATTGACATTGAAGTATAGTATATATATATATATATATATATATATATATATATATGTGTATATATATATATATAGTCTTATTTCATATCTCTTATTACTGATAATGTCATAATTTCTAACAATAATATCATATGTGTAGCGTATAGACATTTATAGTGGTGTATAACTCTGTCGTCTCGAAAAGCGCACGCGCGGGATCGCGGGGCGGGGCGGCACTGCCCGACCGACCGCCGCAGGGAGAAGACGTGGACGCTTACTACGAGCCGATATCACTGTATAATAATAGTGTTACTTGTAATATATACTACTTACAATAGTGTTACTTGTTCTTTCTAAATATTGATCCCTGGGATCTACAGTACATTACATGTGGCGACGAGATAAACTGTGAGTATTTTAAGAATTTTCACCTTTAATAATAAAAAAAAAGAGAGATAAACATACGTTACATTACAAAATACATAAATCCGACTACAATCATTAAATAAAACTACCAAGCTTTAATCAAGTGATTATTATGTGAGTAACCTATAAGTTACCTACCTTCTTGATTTTATTAGGTAAAATTAACCACAGAACCTCACGAGTTTCGTTAATCACTGTAGGTAGGTAAAAGTTACTATAAGTATTGCTGTTTACTATAGGTTCGTTCGAAGTCACAGCGATTTTGCTGAGCAACGACCTGTTCCTACGCAGATGGGACGGCTTTATTGTTATTATAATTAGGAGATTGGAAAAATAATACAGTGGTTATTTAAACTACCTATATGCGGCGTTTTGTAGTTTTAGATTGTTAATAACTTAATTGTTGCTTTGATCATAGATAATACAAGTTTTCATGCCATTGAAAACACAGACTACAGAATATAAATAGTTCAGATTGTACTTGAGATGTTTGTGTTGAATACGACAAGTAATTAGGGTAATTCTAATTTTAATCCTTACAGTGTGTTTTGTTGTACAGAATAAATATTTTTCTTTTACCTTTCAATATTCTGAAGTTAATGAATTGATCCACAGTATTAATTAGTTACTTACCTATAAAATAAAAGTGTATTTAAGGTTATCATCGTTATTACTAACTGATGTTGACTGTATATAACATTTTGACAAAGGAACATAGAAGAAAAAGTGAAATAACTAGGTACTCACTTGGCCGTGAGTTGCGTAGGTATCCTCCGTTCGCGTTTTAGGTATCTAGCTTTCTATGGGTGTACATCAGGTGAGTGACATATCTACATATTTGTCAACCTACCTTCCTCATTAAATTGCAGCTGGGCATTCAATTGCGACTGAGCATTTAATTGCGGTATGAGATAGATAATAAAAGCATTAAATTGCGGAGATTACCGGTATAGCATTAAATTGCGTACATACCTACATAGCATTAAATTGCGTACATACTTACATATCATTAAATTGCGTACATACATACATAGCATTAAATTGCGTACATACCTACATAGCATTAAATTGCGATGTTTACACGGGTTCAAATTTTATGTTAACACTTGGAGCACCCATTCGCCGCTTGACTGCTGCGCGTTGGGTAATGCTCACATGCCAGTGCCACAGTACTGCACAGTATGGCGAGTAAGTGTCGTCATGAGCACTGAATGTGTACTACGGGTGTAGATACGGGTACCTATAGCATAGGTACAGTCAAGTACAGTAGACACTTTAGTACTAGCATTAGATTGCAATAGCGTGTTATAAAATCTATAATATGCAACATTGTTACTACCTTGTCAACAAGTAGCCCCAAATGGCACTGTACACCTTAGAGAAGTTTGAATGTGACGGGGAGGTTGGTTCAGTCTCTGTCCGTTGGGAAAGATGGAAAAGAAGTCTAAACATTTACCTCGAAGCGGCAGGGATAGACTCCGAGGCAAAGAAAAGAGCTAGCCTTTTACATTTTGGTGGTCCCGAGTTACAAAAAGTCTTCTATAACATCCCAGGATCTAGTGCAACTGAAGGCAAACTTTTTAACATTGCGATCGAAAAATTAGACGACTACTTTGCACCTAAACAGAGTAAAGTGTATGAGCAACACCTGTTTCGTCTCATAAAACAGGAACAGGATGAAAATTTTGAGAAATTTCTTATCAGACTTCGACTAGCAAAGAAATGTCAGTTTGGTGGAAAAGAAGACGAACATATCATAGATCAAATAACGGAAAAGGGTAAAGCAGAAGAACTCCGAAAAAAGATATTAAAAACAGGAGACAAGATCACTTTAGATGAAATAATTGCGGAAGCGAATGCATTGGAAGCCATAGATCGTCAATTAGGAAACTTTAGTACGAAACCTGTAGAAAGTCAGTCAATCAACAGAATAGGTGTTGAGACATGGAAGGAGAAGCAAAAAAAAGAAGATTGGAATGTAGTAGATGTGGAAGTTGCAGACATTTGGCCCGTGACAATAACTGCCCAGGAAAAGGAAAGGCTTGCCTTAAATGTGGCATCTTAGGACACTTCAGAGGCCAATGCAGGACAAGACAAACTCAGAAGAGGAAATTTGAAGGAGGAAAATCATCGAAAAGTCAGGGAATAAAGAAGAAAAGCAGGACAACAAACAATATCGAGGAAACTGCAAAGATAATCACGGATGAAAGAAAAGTCGACTACTTTTTTTAATATAGAGAACGACGCAAAGGTCACATGTTACATAGGTGGAACTAACATGGAGATGTTGATAGATTCAGGCTGCAAGCACAACCTTATAACAGACCAAACCTGGGAAAGAATGAAGAAAAATAACACTCAAGTTACCACTCAAGATTCGAATCCAGACAAAACGTTCATAGCTTACGGGAGTGCAACACCGCTGAAGCTGTTAGGATCATTTAAAGCCACGATAAAACTTGCCGGAACGTCACAGGACGTCACAACATTCTATGTGATCAGAAACGGTACGCGTGACCTACTTGGACGTGTGACGGCAACCTCATTGGGACTACTTCGGATCAATTTGGATATCAACCAGGTCGGAACTGAGGCGTTTCCAAAATTTAAAGGCGTTTTAGTTACCATTCCGATTGACGATTCAGTGAAGCCCGTTGCTCAGCCGTATCGGAGAATTTCCATCCCACTTGAAGAAAAAGTAGAGAATAAACTGAAAGAATTAATAAAAAGGGACATTATAGAAGTCGTGAAAGGTCCTTCTAACTGGATCTCGCCTATAGTCCCTGTGCTAAAAAACGGGGGCGACATCCGATTATGTGTGGATATGCGCCGAGCAAATACGGCTATACAACGTGAAAACCACCCACTGCCAACGATAGAAGAACTGTTGCCAAAAGTTCGAGAAGCCAAAATCTTTAGTAAGCTAGACATACGAGATGCATTCCATCATATCGAACTTCACACAGACTCAAGGCATATCACGACCTTCATTACCAGCAAAGGATTGTATCGATACAAAAGAATGATGTTTGGTATCTCGTGTGCGCCAGAGATTTTCTAAAAAACACTGGAACGAATCCTTTTAGGTTGCGAAGGAGTCATCAACTTCATAGATGACATCTTCATATTTGGGAAATACTTATTAGAACACGACTTAAGGCTTAAAAAAGTTTTGGCAGTGTAAGAGGAAAATAACATGATGTTGAGGGAAGACAAATGCATTTACAGAATGAAGAAAGTCCACTTCCTAGGGCATGAACTGTCAGAACTGGGAGTCAAACCACAAGACAAGTATATCTTGGCTATAAAGGGATACAGAGCCCCGACGAATATCGCTGAACTGCAGAGTTTTATAGGTTTAGTGAATTGCATGGGAAAATGGATCCCCCACCTAGCAACGATAACATAACCCCTTAAGCAACTTCTACGGCAAAGAACGGGAAGAAACACAGTCATTCAAGATGACTGGGGGGATGCCCAAAAGAAGGCATTTAACGATTTCAAGGCGGCACTTATGAAGGTACCAAATTTAGGTTACTACAATCCTCATGATAAGACGGTGGTGATTGCAGATGCAAGCCCAGTGGGTCTGGGTACAGTGTTGGTGCAAATCAACAAGAATGGGCCAAGAATAATTGCATTTGGTAATAAAACCCTCAGCAGCTGTGAGTGTCGTTACTGCCAAACAGAGAAGGAGGCCTTAGCCCTGGTTTGGGCAGTCGAACACTTCAACATGTTCCTGTACGGTAAGATGTTCGATCTAGTAACGGATCATAAGCCCTTGAAGGTGATATTTGGCCCGAAAGCTAAACCATGCGCTTGCATTGAAAGGTGGGTATTAAGGTTGCAATCCTACAATTTCAAGGTGAAATATAGTCCGGGGAAGACCAATATAGCCGATCCACTATCGAGACTCTGTGAAGTGGCAACAAACCCGACGACATTACTTGAAGACCATGTTCAAGCGATTACCGAATTGGCACGACCAGTAGCCATTCCATTACAAGAGATCACTGAGAGTTCTCTTGGAGATGCAGAGATACAGAAGGTTAGAGAGGGTCTTTACAACGGAAACTGGGAGGAAACGGTAAAAACCTATAAACTTTTTCAGGATGAATTATGCTTTCATAGCGATATTCTCCTCAGGGGGACAAAAATTGTAATTCCAACCAACTTACGCAGAAGAATTCTGAAAGCTGCGCACGAAGGCCACCCGGGGATAGTCGCGATGAAGAGCAGATTGAGGACCAAAGTATGGTGGCCTAAGTGCGACAAAGATGCTGAAAACATATGCAAAGCCTGTAAAAGATGCATCCTGGTCCCTGCTCCCAGCGCCCCAAACCGATTATAAAGAAGAGATTTACCTTCCGAACCGTGGGTTGACATAGTAATCGACCTCGTGGGCCCATTACCTAGTGGAGACTATATCCTGGTAGTCGTGGATTATTATTCCAGATATAAAGAAGTGAAAACATGCAGAACCATAACAAGCTCTGAAATAATTGAAATGCTTAAAGACATTTTTAGCAGACTTGGCAACCAGTCTCCCTCACATCAGATAATGGTAGACAATTTTCCAGCGAAGACTTTAAGAGCTTCTGCGCAGAAAGGAACATACGACTCTAGAATACCATTCCCTACTGGCCGCAACAAAACGGAGAAGTGGAGCGCCAGAATAGGGATATCCTAAAACGCCTCAAGATCTCTCAAGTAGTGAAAAAGAACTGAAAGGAGGCTCTCGAGGAGTACATGGTGATGTACAATAGTATATCTCACACAGTTACAGGGAAAACACCTGCAGAACTGTTCTTTCGACGGCAATTTCGAGACAAACTGCCTATGCTCCAAGACATAACGCATCTCTCAGAGGAACTTGAAATGAGGGATAGAGATAAAGAAATAAAGGAAAAAGGGAAGGAATATGCGGATAGGAAGAGAGGGGCTACTAACTGTGAATTGTAAGTCGGAGATAAAGTATACGTCAAGAAAATGACTAAACAAAACAAGCTGAGCTTAAACTATGAACCCGAAACACATACCGTCGAAGCGAACAAAGGAGGGGACGTAATTCTTCGGAACGATGAAACTGGTCAGCAAATCAGACGGAACGTCGTACATCTAAAACGAGTGAAAGGGCTATGGAAGGTACTAGATGATGAAAATAATGCTAGTGGTGCTCAAACTAACGATAATGGTGACGTAAATCAATTACAACTCGAGTGAATAAAATTATCGACGATAATGACAAAATAATTGATGTTCAGTGATTGAACATAATTTGAATAAGAACTTGCTGATTGTACTTGATATACTTACTTATGTAAAAAGAAAAAGAAAAAATAATTCATTAAACTACTATACGAATTATGAATGTATTTTATTTCTAAGTTAAGCTGATCACAGTTCCTTAACTCGATATGGTTATTTAAATTTGTATATATATATATTTATATGATAACAAAACATTAATAAGGGAGGGATGTAGCGTATAGACATTTATAGTGGTGTATAACTCTGTCGCCTCGAGAAGCGCACGCGCGGGATCGCGGGGCGGGGCGGCACTGCCCGACCGACCGCCGCAGGGAGAAGACGTGGACGCTTACTACGAGCCGATATCAGTGTATAATAATAGTGTTACTTGTAATATATACTACTTACAATAGTGTTACTTGTTCTTTCTAAATATTGATCCCTGGGATCTACAGTACATTACAATATGTGGATGTGTTTCTTTTGCTTTATAGTGTTCGAAATAAAAACCAATACAAACATAAACATAGACCACACATGCTATTTAGATAGCAACAAATATAGAATAAATAATATATACAATATTCATTATCTTCTCTCAGGTGAAACGCATAGAATAGAGAGAATAAATGTCTTGTAGGCTGAAATCTTGCAGAGCTGCTCGTAGGCAGAGACAAAAATGTATATGGATATTGAATACAACTTCAATAATTATATATCATATCTCATAACATTAAAAATTTTCTTGTTATGTTATTATCAAGTTATTTTGAAATGATTATGACTGACAATAATAACATCATAAAATACAATTAATTGAAAATTAAATATTTCAATTAAATTAAACATGTGTTTTTGTTATCCTCACACAACCAGTTTAAAACATCTTAGTTCATATTTATGTGTGTTATAACATTGATATAACCTAGTCATTTTTGCTTTAATGGTATTTGGGGTATGATAACTAAACAGTTAATATATTTTAAAACAAATTTTACACACTGCAGCTTTACTGATTCAACCAAAACATATTAAAATCTTGACACCGCACCAATCTGTTCCACTATTAATAGACTGCTTTGGAAATAATTACAACAATAAATGCAGTGGCATTTTACTTTGTGTATTAGCCTTATACAACCAGTTTAAAACATCTTACTATATAGCATGTAAAGGTAATATTATAAATGGTCATGTTATCCGTTATTCGCCCAAGCCCGCACTGGCGGCCTGGCCACTGCGGCTAGGCCGCCAGTGCGCGCTAGGCTTTCATCTTGTCTTTAATCATATTTATTTAATTAATTTAATGGTGTTTGTGATGTATATTCCCTAATCAATTAATACCTGTAATAAAAGTCCCCACACTACGTTTGTTGGTCTGTGCACTACGTGAAATTTTAAAAGGATTTTGCATCAATCTTAAAGTACCTATAATTGCTGAATGTACCTACAACTTTGTTTAATACTATTAATTGATAAGCTATTCTATTCTATATACACTATTCTAACTCATAATATCTGTGAAAACTACTAGAAAATCGCTTTTAGTTTGTTTTAAGGTTATTGTAATATTAATATTTCAATTACTAACTTCTCAGAATTCCCATTAGATGCGATAAAACTAATATTAATTTTGTAATCTATAGATTATAAGGAATAAATCGATATATATTTCATTAAAATTCTCTAAAATTCGTGGTGGGCCCATTCTCCATACAAAAAGAAATTGTCTCCTTTGTTATTAACCTTTTATGCATACAAAAGCGATATCCGCCAAGTCGAGCAAAAAAGCAGCACGGCCGTACACCATCCTTTTCTCGAAACAGTTCAGGCCATATTCGAAACCCTATAACTTCGTTGTGGGTAAAACTAGAAGCCTGAATTTTCAGTAACCAAGTATGCATTTTATAAACTCATCATCATCATCATTACAGCCTTTCATAAGACCACTGCTGCACATAAGCCTCCCCCAAGGAATGCCACAAAGCACGGTCCTGAGCCACCTGCATCCATCGACTTCCTGCATGTCTTACCAGGTCGTCACTCCATCTCGTAGGGGTTCGCCCTACATTTCGCCTACCGGTACGATGCTGCCACTCGAGAACTTTTCTTCCCCATCGGTTGTCGGTTCTTCGAGCTATATGGCCGGCCCACTGCCACTTCAGCTTACTAATCCGTTGGGTTATGTCGGTTACTCTGGTTCTAATGCGGATATACTCATTTCTAAGTTTATCACCCAGAGAAACCCCTATCACAGTCCTCTCCATAGCTCGCTCAGCTACCTAGAGCTTCCAAAAGAAGCAATGAAGGACCACGTCTCAGATCCGTAAGTCATCACTGGCAACATGCACTGGTTGTACAACTTCGTTTTAAGATTTTGAGGTATGCCTAACGAGATGATGTGTCGTAGTTTCCCGACCGCTGCCCAGCCGAGTTGACTCCGTCGATTGACCTCTCGGTCGAAGTTGGACTTACCTAGTCGGACTATTTGTCCCAGGTAAACATACTCGTCAACAACATAGTGCTTAGTGCTCCCAACAACTACCGGCATAGGTGTGACATGGACATTAAACATGATCTTTGCTTGGTCCATGTTCATCTTAAGACCTATCCGTTGGGAGACACAATTAGGTTATTGAGCATGGAGCTTAGTTCCTCCAGTGATTCTGCCATAAGGACTATATCGTCGGCAAATCGAAGGTGAGTGATGTACTCGCCATTGATGTTAATACCGTATCCTTTCCAGTCCAGAAGCTTGAAAACGTCTTCCAATGCAGCGGTGAAGAGTTTCGGGGATATCACGACACCCTATCTTACACCTCTCTGCAGTTGGATAGGTTTCGCAATCTGGTTCTGTACTCGGCTAGCCATCGTAGCCCTACTGTACAAGCACTTCAGTACTCGGATATACTGACAGTTAACTTGGCACTGTTGAAAGTACTGCAGCACCGCCCAAATTTTGACGGAATCAAAGGCTTTCTCATAGTCCACATACGCCAGACATAGTGACAAATTGTACTACTCTGACTTCTGTACAATTTGCCGAAGGATATGTATGTGGTCTATGGTGCTTTACCTTTTCGGAAACCGGCTTGTTCGCGAGGCTGGAAGTCGTCAAGTCTGCGCGCGAGACGATTCGTAATGACTCTCGAAAACAGCACGTAGATGCGACTCAGAAGGGAAATCAGTCTTTAGTTGTTCAAAAGAGCGTTGTCACCTTTCTCGAAGAACAAGACCACCGCACTTCTGCTCCACGCCTCCGGTGTAATGCCACCATGGAGGACGGAATTACAGAGCTTCTGCAGGACTTCACGTACCGGTTTTCCACCCTCTTTCAGAAGCTCTGCTGTAATTCCATCCTCGCCTTAGGCCTTGCCGTTTTTAAGACGCTGGAGAGCCATTCTAATCTCGCTCAGACTGAAGTCCGGGATATCCTCGGAATAGTGTCGGATAAGACTCGCACTTGGATCGTTACTCACACTTGCGTGTGGCTCCAACGATGACGTGTACAGCTGTCCATAGAACCTCTCAATCTCACTCAAAATCTCAGGTGCCCCGGAAACGATGCTGCCACACTCAGTCTTCAGCTTTGACAGTTGGCTCTTTCTGGCAGACAGATCTCTAGCAAAGACTTTGGAGTCCTGGTTCCACTCGATCGCTTCTTCAATACAAGCTGTATTGTAGTGAATTTGAAGATCTGTCTGTTCAGTTGCCTGTATGCTGTCAAATCTGTTGAAGAATGTAGATTCATCTCCTGTCTAACAGCCATGATATTAAGAGTGTGATCGGTGAGTTTTTGTGTTCTTCTGCGGCGGGTCTTGCAGAACTTAGCTCCGACCGCATGGACAGTTTCCACGAGTTTGTCATTCATATCGTCCACTTAATTGCAGTCTTCTAGGCACTGAAAACGGTTTTGTAACTTGAGCTGAAAGGTTTCGGGACTTTGGAACAGAGCACGAGGGGGACTGAGCGTTAACTTCATTAGACGAGACCTCTCCAACTTAATGTTTAGGTTCAGTGTGCTTCTGGCCATTCGGTGATCGCTACCAGTTTTCACCCTCGCGATTAGACCCAGACATCACTGAACAGTTATCGCCTGGT